TTCTTCTATCAATCTATAATTTGCTTCGGAAACGAGACGTATGCCTGAGCGGTGGAATATCTAAAAGTTAAGGTATTCCGATTTAAAACGTTTGCCGATTTTAGGGATTTCTCAAATCGTGCAAGAAGCTCAGAGATCAGTTGGTTGGTTCCATGATAAGTCGGATTCCGGACTGAAGGATTCGAAGAAAATCACTTCTGCAAGGAGGATACTTCAGGATCAGGTTCAGTAAAACGCTTGAATTGTGAACTTCTTCTCATCTTCAATTTTATTCCATATCTGCGGCAAATTAGATTTACTGGTGGTTGAATAAAACAGTTGTTACCTCTTTTGAGGATCGTTGGGCAATGAGTAGCTCGCTTTTTATGGTGACATTTTAATGTTTACACTGAATGTTATGATGATGTTAATAGTTAGGGTGAGGGTGATGAAGCTATATTCCGTTCTTGTGGAGTAATAAATATTGATGTTTTATTTTATTAAAATCCTGTTACTGGGTAATTTTTTCATTTTACCATTCTTAAGCTGTAGAAATTCCATTTAAGATTTTGCTTATCATTAGCCATCCAGTTGGAAATTTTCCTTCAGAATTTGGTAATTGCGGGAGGAAATTATGTGTTTTCTCCTGTGTAGCAATGGAAACATATGTTATTACTCCTAGGAAATGCATTACATTGGAGTTGAAAGTCTGATATGTCAATGCACTATGTTGCATTATCTGTTTTGGTTGTTTTAGATTCATGGAAATGTAGTGGCTAGTGATGGTGGGTAAGAGTACCATTAATCTATGCACGAGCATTTGCGATGAGATGCTTCATAGTCTATTGGTTTCATAAGGTGGAAATATGTTTTATGAATGCGTTTTGAAATGAAAGTTTGGCTCTGTTTACATGTCATCAGCATTTTCTGCTCTTTATGAAGTGATTCAATCTAAGTACATGAAAATGGTTACAATTGTTGAACATTATTAGAAATACTGGTCATATGTTATGTACTCGATTTAACCGTACCTTGCTTTCTAGTTGACTATATGTTAAGATTTGCAGTGTCAGTGTGGAAGATAGTTGTTTGAGGGAAATAGTACATGCTATATTATTAGGGG